GAAGTGCAGGACCCGGCACTTGGCCTTGTTGAACCTCATACAGTTGGCCTGGGCCCATCGATCCAGCCTGTCCAGGTCCCTCTGCAGAGCCTTCCTACCCTTGAGCAGATCAACACTCCCACCCAGCTTGGTGTCGTCTGCAAACTTACTGAGGGTGCACTCAATCCCCTCATCCAGATCATTGATAAAGATATTGAACAAGACCAGCCCCAAAAATCCATGTCATCTGGATTGGTGCAGTTTTACTTTCTAGGTATTTGCACATCCCTGCTTATGCATCTTTTCTTTTGTCTTCCAAGACTTTCTTTAGATCTCTTTGTCTCCCAGTTCTGAAAACATGGGAAATTACTTCTCTGAAGGAAATCGTCTTTCTGATATCCAACATTTAAACTGATAGAAGTTGCTCTGCCATTTAAGTTTTTTTCATTTACTTACTATTTATTAAAGGTTAAATGAAATTGAACAGCAAAATAGTTTTGAATGAACTTTATTTTGAAGACAGGGATTTCATTTCAAAGTTCCAAACTCTGTTTTCTGACTTACTGAGCTTCTGCTAGAAAAAAAGTAACTGAGAAAATTCAACCCTCTTCAGAGGTGGACGTTAGGCAGTGTTGCCTTTGCTTCACTTTAAAACAGTAGATGAAGTGTTGGAGAGGAATAAGGGCATTTTGAATTATCTCTGGACTGAGTTGGTGCTTAGTATGCTTTAAACTTGTAGTGTTAATTACCTGTTATTGAAGGTTTCTTTAGTGAGCCATATGAAGGTACTGTGAAACGTAGGTGTTTCTCCACAGCTTTTGACTAGACAGTCAAGAGAGCAGAAAGTGAATAATCTTTTAACTGCTGGACCTGAGTTGTAGAAGCAAAAAAAAAAAGCTGATAGTTTTTCCTAAAAAAATCTATCTGCAGGTGAAATGCAAGTGGCAAAGGAAACTGTTAGTCGGCATATTGGGATGCCTATAATCACAGAAGAAGATAACTCAGATGAAGAAGGTACGATGATTGAAATTCTAACAAACCGGTGACTTGTTTTTCTACTATACTGTATTTTTCTGAAACTAAGGCTAATATTTTGGACCGTGTGTTGCTGCCTTGCAAAAGCTAGGTTAGTTTTTAGCCTGTAAATTGTTGCATGAAAATTGCAGCTTTGCTGTGAGACTGTTACGAGCACACACGTGGTGGCAAAATCCTGCGAGTCATATTTTTTCTACATAGATTTCATTATAAGGAGTTAAAATTGGTCCAGTTTAAAAGAGACTTACTCTTCTATAATACAAATCTGGCTTGAAGAGCTCCAATGTATAGGGAAAAGTGATTTTTCGGTCATTCTCCCACTTACAGAAGACACCTGTTCTAGTAGCTCTGGGAACTTACGTAACCTGTGCTCGAGGTCCGAATAGCCTTTGCTGCCTTCACCTTTGTGGAAGTGAGGGCACATAGAAGTTTCCCATATAGCTTTACTTTCAGCTGGGCAATGCTTCAAAGATTAAGTTCCAGTATACATGTACAGTAATAGTGTCCTCTGCTATATTAGAAGTTGTCTGACATAGTTGGGGTAGGATTCTGGGAACTGCAGCAGAAGAGTGGATGACTTTGCTATCACTCACTTTGCTGGAAATAATGTAATTTTTATTTGGAAGCAAGGGTAAAGCAGGTTTCTTAAAGCTGGTGGTGGAGTTGCTCTATGGAAGCATCAAATGCATATAGTACAAATTGAGATGTTAGATGATCTTGAACTGGTCTGCAACTCAGAAGCTTCAGGGTCTGTTCTCAGTATTGCTTGAGGAGAATATAAGCACCATGGAACAGACACTGTACAAAGAAAATTGTGTCGTCTTTATCTTGAGGTACTGCTTTGCTGCCATGTCTCAAACACGGGTAGTGTCCCTGGGAGAGGAGCTGGCCGGCTGAAGGTGTGATTTCCACTGGCAGTTCTAACTAGTCGAAGACTGATGGGTGTTGCTTACATAGTGGAAGGCAGACTTGATAGACCAGAGGTACTGGTTCTTAACCTGAAGGAGTAGTACTTAATTAGGTTGCTTAAAGGGGGAGCAAAGGGTTAAGTACAACTTCTGGAAAGCTTTAATGACATAGATGAGTGTGAGGAGTATACCTTTTGGAGTTAATTTACTATCCAAAATTCATAGAATCATAGAATGGTTTGGGTTGGAAGGGACCTTAAAGATCACCTAGTTCCAAGCCCCCTGCCATGGGCAGCGACACCTTCCACTGGACCAGGTTGCTCAGAGCCCCATCCAACCTGGCCTTGAACACTTCCAGGGAGGGGGCATCCACAACTTCTCTGGGCAACCTCTTCCAGTGCCTCACCACCCTCATAGTGAAGAAATTGTATGTAATGGAAGGATATTTCATACAAGGGAGCATAATAACTATTAAAATACATTTGTAGTGAGGTAGCACATTTATATTTGCTCTTTTTAAAAGCAAAAGATCATCTTGTAGTACTAAAATGAGATTACATTCTCTGATCACCTTAGTTGTAGACAACGTGAATTCATTCAATTTTAAATGATCAGATTGAAGGCACAGTGGTGCATTTAATATTGTACTTTATTTACTTTTGCTTCAAGTTGTTGTGGACGAAAAGTTTCTTTCTAAATCAGGAACATTCTCCATTTCTCAGAACTTGCCAGCAAATTCTGAAGCATTAAAAATACCCATAAGTAATCTCTTGAGGTATTTTGTGCTTAATTTTGTGAGTATTCCATTTGCCAAATTCGTAATGAAATCATAAAGGTGTTCATGAGGAGCAGAAAGCTCTCAAGATTGACTAAGTTTTGAAGTACAGTATTTTGTTCATCAATGGAATTTTAATTGATATTTTGAATGATAGTGTGCTGTAGAATCTAGAAAAGGGTTTTTTTTTTCATATTTAAAACCATGGGGAAGAGGGATTGGGAGGGGATCTCAAGAGCTCATCTAATTCATTTCCCTTGCTGGGCAGAATTAATTCTACTTTAATCATTCCCATGAGGGAAGATAGATTGAAAAACTTGTCAGAAAAATGTCTTTATTTCCTTTCAGAAGTATCTCTCCCCAAGAGGAAAAGAAGATGTTAGAGGATCCGGTTGGAGAAGCACTAATGTTAATTTTAATGACAAAACGTAAATGTCAGAGGTAACACAAAGTGCTTGTTTTGGATGCCTTTGAACATACAACAGGAAGTGTCTGGGACGAGAACTACAGGTGACACTGGAATACTGGTAGTGACTGGTACACCTTAGCTGTCTCATGGTACAGCACCTGGTGCCTTTATTCACTTGGTGCATGCTTTCTTGTGAGAGACAAAGTTGCTGTGCCCTGTTTGAGATGGAAAGAGAAGATGGTTGCTTGTTGTATTTAGTTTGTACAATGTGAGTTATCACTTGGAACTCATGTTGATCTGCAACCATGTTTTTAGCTGAGACTGTTAAAAGAACAGCTCACAAAATATTTGCCTGTATGAGACATGTTTGGAATATTTATCTCTGAACATAAAATTAAGGTTACTGACTGTTTAAAATTAGTACAATAAATTATTTTTCACAGTTTACTTGCTCCATTTTCTAGTGTGCAATTTCAGCAATGTTTATCATGGTTTGATCCCACAGATGTGGGAAATGAACTTGGTGATAAGCCTTTTATTGTATTCTGTCTCCAGCAGATCTGGTATCATTGGATATTCGAATGAAGAAATATAATGTGCGTTTATAATTCTGCAGATGACCCTAAGCTGTACACGGACAGGACTAGAATTCAAAATGATCGTTACAAATTGGAGAGGTGATGTGGAAGAAGTGGGTGTGGAAATAAATGTGAATCTCAGTACTGAGTGCGGGTACAGAATGGGGAATGATTGCTAGGCAACAGCACTGCAGAAAAAGCAAACAGACTGAGAATGGTAAGCTGGAGTATTTCCTGTAAACAATAACAAGCACTAGAATCAGTGTCATCATTCAGCCCTCTAAGGCTATAGCCTTAAATACCCACTTCTGACCATGACAGTTCAAGAAGAATGTGGATAGTTATTCTCCTTGGTATTTTCTCCAGCTGATCATAGCTGTACTATCAAGAAGGGCCAAAGGAGTTGAGATGTCCTCCTACAAGAAGAAATACAAAATAGAAATTTGAAAGATTTTGGATATAAAAGGGGCCTAAGCTGAGTGAATTAGTTTGGCAGTATGACTCTCTAAGGCCAAAGGAATTGAAGTGCCCTTACCTAGAAGAAGAAGCACTAAGTGGAAATATAAATGCTGTGAATGTAAAATGGGCCTGTATTAAATGCATTAGTTGGTAAGAAGGAATGGGCCCAAATGACATACAGGTTGGACACTGGAAAAACTAGTAAGCGCCAGTGTTGCACTCAAAACCTTGTTAATGGGAAAAGAGGAAACACTATAATAAAGCCAAAACCTTAACTGTGTAGTAAACTGAATAATTGAACGTTCTGTTACTGGTATAAACTCATTCTGCCTCTATGCATTTCTACTCCTAATTTTTGATGAGCAGATACAAGAGACAGAGACCTCTTAAGGAAAACTTAACCAGACTTTTTTGGTCAAAATTGTCTGCTCATCTTAATGCAGTTAGGATCCTGTTGGTAATACTACATTAGTCAGTTTTGTCAATTCCAGCTGCTGCTTTGGGTGTGGATATGCAGGCTGACGGAGAAGCTTCCTGCTATCCTCACATCGCAGGGGATGGGTAGCAGTATAGGTGTAACAGGGCAGCAATTGTAGATGAGGTACAGTGGGAATACTTGGGAGTCTTCTTGGGAAACCCCTGGATGGCTAAGATAAAAGAAATGAAGAGGGAGAGTTCTTTCTAGCAGGTATTGGGAATACAGCTTCAAATTCATCATTTCTTACGAGTTTCTTCACTTAGGAATTTGCTTAAGGATGAACTTTACAGCACCAATCCTCTTCTGCTGTTTCTAGGCACCGAGGTTAAGCTAGGTCTTCCAGCTGCGTGGTATTGGGTTCTTCTCTTGAAGGGGAAACTTGAAAGAGGCTTCTCTTTTTCTATTTCCCTCTGGCTTGCAGGTATCTTTCTCAAGGAAGCTAAAGATTAAACACAGCTACAAAAGCTTATTTTTCACTTTCTTGACAGGCTGTTTTCAGCTAAATTATTATGATTCCATATATATGGAATAAGTTTATTTTAACATATTTAAGGAATATGTTTAATACTGTTCCCTGCAGTGGCACTTTTTCATAATGTGACCACCTTGTTTGCCTCTCCTTGTATCTTTGAACCATCCCAAGAGCTGAGTAGGAGAATTTTTCAGAATTTTCAATATTTGGTGACATGAGTCTTCCTGCACATGCTTCTGAAAATGATTTGCAAATCAATATCAGAAGCATGCAGAGGCTTGACTAGGCACGAAGATGGAGCATTCAACTAGCAGTTATTTTAATATTATGAAAACAAGTATTCTTTAATTTGTTTATAAAATTACGTAGATGTAAAATGAAAGTTATGCTTAAGGATGAACTTAGAACTGCTGACTATATGCAGTAATAATATTTCAAAGCAGTAATCCTGAGAATTTAGAGGCAGCTGTAAGAAGATGGAGCATTCAAATAGCAATTATTTTAATATTATGAAAACAAGTATTCTTTAATTTGTTTATAAAATTACGTAGATGTAAAATGAAAGTTATGCTTAAGGATGAACTTAGAACTGCTGACTATATGCAGTAATAATATTTCAAAGCAGTAATCCTGAGAATTTAGAGGCAGCTGTAAGCAAAGTTTCATTATGCTGGTGTAATCTCTTTTTTTTAAAAAAAAAAAATCCCTTGCTGCAGTCTGATGGGCAATTACAGGCTTTTAAAAACAGGAGAGGGACTTCCTAAAATGTTTCATTAAAGCAAGCAGCTGTCATTAAAAAAACCTAACCAACCTACCCCTTCCACCTGCCAACAACAGTAAATCTAGACTTCAAGAATATTGTTTTCTTAGTATCTAACTTCTCTCCTGGTTACAGCCTCAGCTAATACAGTAGCCAAAGGCTGCAAGGAAACTTCATCTCTGTAACACCAGTCTAACTTCCAACTGACCTGGTGGATGGGAGCGGGGCAATGTGACAGTGTGTAGCTGGATGTTGTTACAGTTTTCGTAAATAAATTAGAGAAATAGGGTTTGGCTGAAACTTCTCTAAGATGGATATACAACTGACTGAAGAACTACATTCATACAATAGTAATCGCCATTTCTTTGGCAAAGCTAAACGATCCTTGAAGTGGAGGTTTGAACTAGTGCTATGCAATGTTTACAAGTATGATGTGGGTGATGAAAAGCAGAATAAACTTAAAACACTTACAGGTGACATCAGTTTAGAAACTGTTTAAGTGGAAGACGTTTTCCAATATAATTTTTATTCTTATAATGGGAGAAATCAACAAGGTCTAATTAAGTAAAGGTAGGTGCGAAAGGCTGCACTTGTAAGGACAGATGAAATGCAACTACCAGCTCGGGAGTGCTTGTGTAAGCAGCTGTTCTCAGTCTGGAGGTTTATGCAGCCCTCAAACCAGAGGTGGGTCAGCAAAATGGGGGTGATGTGAAAAGTTCCAAATGCCATGGATGGCAGCGGTGATCTGTCTTGTGTCCAGTTTGGGGAGTGTGTAGTCATCACCTCTAGAATAATTAAAGAATCCTAAAAAAAAAAAAATAACAAAAAGCAAACAGACTGCAGGAGAGTTTAGTCTGGAAAAGAAAGGGTTTGACAGTGAACGGTCTTTACAGCTTTGTAATATGTGTTTATGCAAATGGTGATTAATTGTTCTCCATGTTCATTGAGGCAGAGCTGTACAATTTACAGCAACTTGAATTTACTTAAGAGATTTTTGCAGTCAAATAAACAGTTTGGCCTTATAACAAACAGCAGAGTCACTTTTACTGTAGGAGTTCAAAACAATGTTGGAAAAACAGTAGTCATGGTTGTCTGAGCTAGACCTAGTCCTGCTTTGGAGACAGGGGATGGACTAGAGGATCCTTCTAGTCCTATACTTAAATGTTTTACGTAACAGGACTCTATGCAGAGAGTTTATATTCTCTCATCACACATGCATAGCAAGTTCTTCAAATGTCACAGATACTTTACCCCTTCTTTTCTGGAACGTTTCATTTTCAAGTTCATTATACTTCTGGAGTTGCCTATTCACATTTTACAAAGCTTGCTGCGGGGACCTGGCTTCCTCACCCCATTTTCATCTTTGTCCTCACATCTAGGCACCCGATTAAGCCTGGTAATGGAATACTTCCCTCCTCCATCTGTATGCAACCCAACACTTGGAAATGGGACTGCAAGAACTTCGTGAGCTACAAGGGGTTGAGAAATGTGCTAAAACTCTGTCTTGCTCCTAGCACTTCAGGACTTGGGTCGGTCTTCTCTGACTGCTGCGCCATAGTTTGGCCGCAATAGAAACACGCAAAGCAAAATTATCTTGCAACAGCTTGAGCTTTCTGCAACAGACACCAAACTTCCTCTTTAGTCATAGAAATGTAAACCCAGATGTGGAAAATAACGGAGGACATAAGGGCCAGCCATCAGCTATTAAAGTTTATCAGAGATGGGAAGTAACTTGTTTCTTTAGAAGAGAGTTTTGCTTGTGCGACGAAAAGTGAGGTAGCATTTAAATCTTAGAGGCAGGCTCAGTGCAACCTGCTGTGTCTCCAGGTTGTAGTTTTTGACAGGGCTGCGTGTTGACAATGTCCATCCGAGTGAGGGTGGAGCTGGCTGTCGTATTTTATGCACGCTACTAACAGGTCAATGCAGCCCTGAGGACTCGTGGAAAGAGATGGCACAAAATATTGGAAGACGGGGTGAAGCCGCTTACCCTCCCAAGTTGCATTTTTCTGGGAAATTTCACGGAGTCCCGCCTGTGCTGTGCGCAGCCCCCGCTTGACGCGCCGGGGGCCGCGGGGCGATGCGGCCGCAGCCGGGGCGTGCCGCCT